GGCAATCGGTCGTGGCATTGACCTGACTTAAAGCCAGTCGGCCTTGCTGGGGCCTCTGCAACAAGCCGATCGCTTCGGTCTCCTGGATAAAACAAGTGTTCTTGGAGCAATAGTCCTGGCCGGCGGCAATCATGCTCTCGACAACGGATTTTTGCTTGGTGCAATGCTTTGCGACGCACCAGTTTGCTTTTTGGCCTTTGCCTCCGAGCATGCCTTGACTGCAGACGATTCTGCATACCCATGCCGCCCCATCGCACTGACGCTCGTGCACTGGGATGTTAATCCCAGCCCAAGCTGGTAAAGCCAGGGAGAACAGCAAGAGGATCTGATGCGGCGTCATGGCTGGGCAGCAGTTCTGTTTCGGACTGTGCAGAACTTGGGCCTTTGCCAACAATACGCGCATCCTCATTTGCTAGGCTGCTAGGGTCTGGAGGTTGCATTGGGGGGGGGGTTGGGTGTGGGATTAAGATGTGTCCTGTTGAATACGGAAGGAGCGCACAACATCAGCAAGCAAATGATGCAATATAGGGGCCTATATAATTGCCTATACTATTTTGGGGGAGTTCCTTATTATAATTATAGTAGAGTCTACCCCAAAGAACCCTCTTCTAATTATTAAGGCCCCTACATTGGACGTGGGCATCTTAGACCCAGAGCAGCCCCACCTCGGCTCCTCTTCGCTCTTTGGCCTGCCGGACGTTCCAGGCAGTTTCGCAGCTTAGGGCATAGAGTTGTCTACCCTAAACCCTTAACCTAAAACCCTAAACCCTAAAACCCTAAAGCCCTCAAACCCTAAACCCTAAAAACCCCAAACTCTAAACCCTAGTTTTGATTAAGGGATGGGAGCTTCAGGTTCAAGGTGTTCAGAAGCTCGAGGCACAGAGTACAGTGAGCATGCACTATGGCACCCGAAACCCTAAACTGTAATGATGTGTTCGGTTGAGGGTTTTTCCACTGTGCAGATGATGATCACATTGAAAATCTAAGCCCCTGTGACTTTTTCGTGGCAGGCACTCTCTTTGACTGCTGACCAAGTCCAAAGAGTGGGAGTTTTAGTGTAGTATAAGTAAAAACTGATTCCTAAGACCACCAAAGACCAAAACCCTGAACCCTAAACACCAAACCCTAAACCCCAAGCCCTAAACCTCGGGTCTACATGGGAGATCCAAAAGTTTCAAAAACTTACTGTTGTCGGGGTTGTGCCCTGTACTTAAGTGGTCAGAATCTACTACTCTGGTAGGGTTCAGGGTTTAGGGCCTAAACCCTAAACCCTAAATCACTAAACCCCTAATCCCCACCCCGAAACCCCCAAACCCTTACCCCCTCAACCCGGATCAGGGCTTAAGGCTGAGGGAACCCAACAGGCTCTAATCCCTGAGCCTCCGGTTTAGGGGTTTAGGGTTTACGGTTTAGGGTTTAGGCCTGTGATGGGACTTCCTTCTAAGTAGCCTCAACTTATAGCATACTATACTCCAACACCCTATTCTTACTATTTAAAGCCCACCATACCCTAAACCCTCCTGTACGATATGTATACATACATACATACATANNNNTATATATATATACACATCTACATACACATGTACATCTGTGAGCGGAGCAGAGTAGAGTCTGACTGGAGGCATTGTATCTGTCCAAGTCATGACTTGCATGTTTTGGCTGCGTCGCGGCTACACTGTGACAGCGTGATCCAGAAACGAGAATGAGTTGGGCAAGGAGGGTGTAGGGTTTAGAGTTTAGGGNNAACCCTAAACCCTAAACAAAATGAAGCCCACATCCCTTACTTTCCGAAGGGCCTCGACGTCTCGTCACGGGAGCAGCAATCTACTCTGGGGCAGGAAGTGTGCAGGGACCGCTTCGATTGTAGTTGTATGCATGCAGGCTTTGTTGACGAATTTCTCACGAAGGCTGTACATGTAGAGCCAAACCGTGCGGAAATGCCAGAGAATAGCAACCACCCACTGTCCACACCCGATGGTTGGCGTTACAGTCATTACAACTACCTCTGCCTCATCAAAGACATGCCAAGACGCGGTCAGCAAGCTCCCTTTGCTTGCAGACGGCTGCAACTACGAAGTTTCCAGCCGTTCAGCCTGAAGAGGATACCAACGCTGGTGCAACAACTGCCTGGTAACTGAAGCCTGCATGAACGGTTCGGCGCGGGCTCGGATTTTAAAATGCGAAGAGCTGGATAGCCACTCATAGCATTTGGCCATCCAGAGACGCACTCTAAGCATCCCTCGTTGGAGGACGGCCCCTTGAAGTGAAACAGCTTCATGCGTATCAAATCTTCAAATCATGTCTTTGGACTCTGAGAAATACGCCGAGGCGTTACCTTTGGTTCGCTTCCAGGCAACTGGCATCCTCCTCCTGTCTACCACTGCTGCTGCTATTGCTACT